TTGAAAATCTATTAGTATTTTCGGGAACCGTAAAGGTAGCTCAGAAAACCCATACAATCGAGAAAGTTGATTTGAAATCCGAAACCGTATCCAAAACTACCTTTTTGGTTTTTGAGGTGCTCCATCGAAAACTCTTTAGGTTATCGAACTTGCTGAATCTCAAAAAGGTATTGTAGGAAACCTAAATTGATTTGCGATGTTATGAAAACCTTCGAAACGGCTTTCACAAAAAGATCTGAGTATCCAAAAACTCTTCGTAAAAGCATATTCGACATTAGAATATACTTTTTTGACCTTTATTTTTTCTGAATTTTCGGAGGTTTCCAGAGAATGAAAAACATTGATACATTTTATATAAAGTATTCAATTATGAATAATTCATTGTTCATATAAATATATCTTGAAATTTAAAACTGTTTGATACCCTCGAAATAATTTAACATAATTTTCACATTGCCAAATTTGCGGAAATCATAAATAGACAGCTGGAAATATGCTCCTGTCAATTTTCATAAAAACTAATAAAACTTATAGTCTATGTATTTTCTTTTCGTTTTGCCTTGTTTTTTTATGAAGTTGCAGTAAAAGGACAATCAGATTTAATAGTCAATATGATTTTGAAGAGTCGGATAGTATGAGAATGGCGATAGTTTCTCTTATTGAGAGTTATCCAAAATGATTAATTGTCAAAATCCGGAGAATTGTAGGTTTTCAAATTCTGTGAAAAAATTCGACTTAAGCAAAGAGGGAGTGAACAGATTCTTGTCACTTGTACCGCATCTTACTAAACAAGTCAATCGTAAAAGAAAATCAGATCACCTATGTAATCTTGAACAAGCATATGACGAAAATACTCCACCACCTGAAAAACCACCCGGTCGTCCCTTTGTAAACCATGCTGAATATTAAAAAAACAACAAGCAAAACAAACACAACTTTTCAATCTCTCTCTCTCTCTCTCTATCTATTGTTCCAGTTAAAAGATGTCTTTCTACAGTATTTTTCCACTAAAAAACCTACGAATTTCTTTCTCTTCCGCGTCCTTTTTCGTTTTCGATTGATCGAGGGAGTTTATTCATACTAGTGTTTTGGAAACAATCGCGCATAAAATTATAACCGTTTTTTATTGATAAACATTTTTTATTCTTAAATGGCTTTTTCCTCTTATATTGATCATTTCTTCTAATAAAAAGCCAGTCTTCTCAAATAACAAACACATGAAAAATTATACTGACAATTCGATGCTACACTAGAGTTAGGCCTCATATCGATAAGATATTAATGATTAGTTGTACAATACAAAGACTAAATAAACACTTTAGTTAATTTGTTTAGATCTACCTCATGCAAGTAATAACGGTAAGCAATGTACTATAAATAAAATCAATACTTTATTTATTTTATTTAGGTTCAACTCATGTGAATCAGAATGATGGTAAGTAATATATTATAAACAAAATAAACATTTTATTTTCCTTTATTTTAGTTTATCTCTTGGTCTCTTCTCACGTCGAACGATACGGTCCGTATATTGGACGCAGAAATACGGATTGTACCATCATTAAAATAGGGTCGTATACGACTGTATATTGATGATGGTACGGTTCGTAATTCTGCGTCCGATATACGGACCGTATCGTTCGACCTGGATTTCTAATGGGGTTGTTGAATAGAACCTTCGATAGGTTCTATAGAATCTCATTCAAGATTCGGGAGTATTTTCTAATGGGTTTCTACTTTTGTAATGCTCGTATCATATGCTGGGTTTTCCATGAGCTCGGAAACCTTATATGGGTTTCCGGAATCAGCTTTGAATAATACATGATTACTTGCTATTTTGAATTTCCGAGTATTCGGAAACCACTGATCGGAAACTCTTAGAGGGTTTCAGATAGTAACAAACTCGGAAACTCTTATTGAGTTTCCTAAAGTACCTATTTTTTTAAGAGAGTATGCAGCTTAGTTTTAAAAGCTCTGAATTAAGACAGTATTTTTGGAAACTACATAGTACATTCTGTAGACAATTCAAAGGGCTAACTTTGAGATGATGATAAGACAAATATTTTTGTCATGGAGCTTGATGCAGTTTCTGGGGAACCTATGTTTATGAGGAAAATTTTTAGAGTCCGATCTCTCGAGTCTATCCTGAAATTTTTAGATTTTTTCCTCATATGGTTAGAGAGATATTCACTAATTACTTCTTAATTAATTAACTTTAATTAAGTAGTAGTTGAAAGCGTCAACATTTTCACATATTTCTATGCTAAAAGAATCTATTCAGTAGGAACATTCTTGTAATAAATCAAAGTCAATTGAAAGTGGGGTATGTCGTATTCTGCCGATGGGATTTCACATTGAACTACGTTTTGATGGGATGGAGTAGTGACGAGGGGACTCTTTAAGAAATCCCTTGGGGCGAGGTGATCATGGAATGACTTTTTAACTGTCCCGCCAATCTCTGCTCAACATAATAATTACTTAAAAAAACATTTATTCTTGATATAATGCTCGAGCTGACACATACCTTGCTTTATGATAATATAAAATGTAACTGGTGTTCGTCTTTCTTTGTATTCATCTTCTACTATCAGTAATAACAACAACAGCACAAGTCTTATCAGCACGCATCTCTATTTAACAGTAACCTGTGTTCTTCAATAATAAGATCACAGATATTATGTCTAAAAGTTGTATTATTATTACATTGACGACCATAAACGGGCCGTAAATCACCCTTTTGATAGCGACTGTATTGCGGCGCGCATCACAGTATACAGTAATGTCTACGACTTTTCTAAAGAATCTCTTTTGGATTTTTGCATTGACTTATCTGACTCACATATAACCATATAATTTGCATGATTTCTATTGAATTTTTAACCAACTTATCTCATACTCAATTAAGTATATGATTTTCATACAACATTTTTTCTGGATTTTTAATCCAATTTTCTCTAGCGTTTTTCTAGAATATACATCGACTTATCTCACTCACTCCGCTTGGCCCTTCACAAGTACGGATTTCTCATACCCCAATGAATGTGTCTGTTGATGACTATGGATTTTTCAAGGATTTTGAAAGGATTTTTCATTCTGTAACAAATTTTGTTAGTGATGCTATTGTCCGGGTACAATATTATTTCTCAACAAGATAACAATTTAGTATCCCAACTCTATTGGTTACCAGTAAAAGACTAATAAGCGAATGTTAAAGACGACAAAAAAAAGATTAAAGTCCTGTGAAAAATAATGTACATCGCATCTTACTCAGATCGTCTTTATAGACTTTAGAGCCACGATTTTTAACACATTTGTTGTTTGCTGGTGGACACAGTGTTAAATTGTCAGAGTTGATACAGGGAGGAATATCGCTTGCACATTCAATTACAGTCATTCTCCCTAAATAAACGAAGATGTATTCTCTGATTCCTAATTCGAAAAACCTTATATTTGAACTTGATTCTGAAAAGTTTATGGTTCAAAATTCACTGAACATGCAACGACATCTTGTCGTCCTATTCATGTTTGGTTGCGTACAAAAGAAGACAAGACGCAATATTTACAAATGATAAGCAGTTGACGTATCTTTTGCTTAATTGTAATATAACGCATTATCTGTGACACGTCGAGCACGAGAGCCTGGAAAGAAAGCAATAGAATCATCAACGTTCGACTCTCAGAAATAAATCCTGCTTCACCAATGTGGACAACAACATCGACCGCGTTTGATCTCTTGAATGCCACTATCCAATCGCTCAATGAAACCCTGAATAATGGCAGCTTGACCTCCGAGATCTTGGTCGAAGCCTATCTGGCACGCATCGAACTCTATGATAAAGTGGGTCCATGCATTAATGCGCTCATCACTGTCAATCCCAATTGTTTAGCACAGGCACAGGAACGTGATGCACAGCGGCACACGACTCCTTTTCAAGATAACCCGTTATATGGAATTCCTTTCGTCGTTAAAGATAACTATGATACAGCTGGACTTGTCACCACCGGTGATTCGGTCATTCTAAACGATTCGGCTCGGCAGGTGAACGCTTTTGTCGTACAGAAACTGTTAGATAGAGGTGCAATTCTGCTCGGAAAAGCCAAATATGTGCGAGCTCTCGTTGTCCTATGGACGTTCTGGATATAGCTCAGCAGGTGGTCTGACGTTGAACCCTTATAACCTCAAGCGCAATGTGTCAGGCTCTAGTGGTAGTTCTGCTGCTGCTGTGGCTACACGTTTCGCTCCATTTGCATTGGGAACGGACACCTGTGACTCGATCCTCTCACCAGCGAATGTGACTAGCTTGGTCGGCATACGACCTACTCTGGGGCTCACCAGTCGCACCGGGGTGATTCTATTGTCCTTGAGCTTTGATACAACTGGTCCGTTGGCGTTTGATGTGAGGGATGCGGCGCTCGTTCTTGATGCATTGGTCGGCAAGGATACATGCGATGCGGCAACGAAAGATCAACCAGACCATACTGTGTCGTATGCTGCCCATCTGGATGGCAAAGCATTGCACGGTGCGCGTCTCGGTATGGTGAGCAATTTTCGTGAAGGAAATCCGAATGTTGATCGGATTCAAGACGAAAGTGTGGGATGTTTGAAAACTACACTGTAAAGTAGAAAATCAAAAGTGAATTTATATGGGCATTTTTAGAAATTCGCAGAGCATATAGTGATTAGAGCATTTTTCAGTTTCATTTTATAATCAATATTTCTTTCATTTCTTTTATTTTATCTGTAAATATATAATGCACAAAAATATTTTCAAAAAGTTACAACCTGAGAAAGAAAACAAACAGTTCAAACACTATCAACAATAGAAAAAACAAATAAGTCAATATTACAAGATATAAAAAAACTTTACATAAAAATATAGCATTTTATAATGACTAACATAATTTAAGAAAATCTAGATTATATACCATTGTGCATAGAAGAATTCATCTTTACGATATGTGATTATTTAATTTATATTCATTTATAAATCTTTTAGCAGCTAATGATAAAAAAATGATCGTTTTTTAAATAATAAACCATTCATGACTTCCAATGTTGCTCGAATTTTTGCTAGATATTCAATATTAAATATTTCATATGATTCAATTAAAATAGCCATAGCTTCAATTTGTGAACTTGTTGTAATAAGTATATTATATTCTATAACAATAGAATAATTTTTAATATTGTTAATTGTTTGTATTTGTATAATTGGATAAGCATCGATTGTTTCCTGAAATAAACAACGATAAAATTAAGCGATGAGAATTATACCATAATTTAAATGACAATAAATTATTTACTTACATAATTTAATAACAGCTTTTTTAAATGTTTGTAACGTTTCATAATCAAATACTCCAATATGAAAAATGGTTGTTCTTCTAAAACAAAGAAAATACAATACAAAGATCAATAAAATGTATTACCTTCATTAATTTTTTCTTTCTGTTGATGTTCCAAATATTTCATTAATTTTGTACAACTACATTTTAATGCTTCAATAATATCTCCAGCAAATGGATCAGAACAAAGATTTATTTCACGAATCAGCTGTTCATAAAAAAAAAATAAAAGAGAAACATGTATATGTGATATTGAAAACAAGCTAACTTGTTTGAACGAATTATTCAAACTGAGCAATATTTCAATAAGTTATAAATTAATTCAAACTAATATACATTATAAAACTTACCAAATTAGTCACTGACAAAGCTGGATACAATTCAACAATTTCTTTGATTGATTTCATCTCTTGAACAAGACGTTAATGATGTACATATTTAATATCCATTTTAGCTTTAACTTGACCATAATCATAATTTGTTGTATTAATTAAGACACGCATAGACTCTGCTTGTCGAATCAATTGCATCAATGATTCTTCAGATTGTTCTTTTTCTTCAGCTAAGTAATCCTAAAAATACAAAAAAATAAATTCATAAATTATCAAAATTAGATCCTTACCCGATGAGATACATGATTAACCTTCATAAACTTCAATTTTCGTCCTGACATTGGATGACTATATGATTGCCTTTTTTTCGCTACTACTTCAGATGAAAAACCAAATACTTGTCGATCACGAGAGAATCGTTGCTTTAATGATAATGTTAATAAGCTCTAAATGAAAAAATCAATAAGTAAAAATGAAAAAAAGGGTGTGGGTGTGGGCGTCGGTGTCGAGAAAGAGTATACCCACACCTACACTCACATCCACACCTACACCCACACCTCACACCCTAAAATATGGAACTCACATAGCTTCTTTAACTTCATTATATTGATGTAAAATATGTAAAATGAATAAAACTATACCATATTTTAGTTGTTTTGCGGATATGCGTGAGTGTGAGGTTCTGCACTTTGCATAAACAACCACATCCTACTAGAAAGATAGACGTTGCACGAAAAGAAAATCGTGACCGAGCTACGGTACATCCATAGTAGCTCATGAGAATTATGATGTATGTAAAAATCGGTGTCTACTTTCTGCTAGAGCTTTGTGGTTCCAAAAAAAAGTGGAATCGGACCCGTTAGAATCGAACATTTTTAAACATTGTTTGTTTCATATATGTTTCTTCATTCTTCTATGATTTCTGAAGAAACCAACTTTTTCTCCATTCAATACATCGAATCCTGCTTCTAAAGCAAAATACTGAATAAATAACTTATTCACTTATTATTTTAGTACTTTTTGTTTGAGATTTCGTGTATTAAGATCAGGAATATGGGAAAACACATCGTGCTCAATTTCGCAGTGTAATCAATGACTGCAAAAGAAGTTGAAGACAATAATCTTTCGTGTGATAATAATCATAAAAAAGACACAAAATGATGATATCAATTTGTTTTAGAACCCTTTTTATAGAATAAGCAGTTGCATGTAAATATTTCATATTGAAACGATTCCTGTAATTGCTTTTGCATGCAGATTTTGAAGACATTGCCTTTAAAATATATATGAATGAATGATTTCGATAAAAGAAATAGAGAATTTTTTTGAAAAACCTAATACTAGTTGCTTGGTGTTCAAAATAAGATAAACGGTTCCGGTTTCGGGTATTTTTTGGAACCAAAGAGCTCTAATTTCTGCCTAACATAACTACGAGAAAAGTTCTGAATGCACCAATCAGTTTGAGTACACGTAGATAAGATAATAAAAAAGAATCGAAAACTAGACTGCAGAAAAAGCGATTGACTGAAGCCGTAACGTATAACAATAGTTACAATGTTTTCCATGCTGATCAAGCGTTGTCTTGTGATGTTTAGGGTTATCAAGTGACCTATATTGACACAAAAGCTGAAATCGAAAGAAAAAAAAAAGAACTCGCTCAAACTTGTAGTCAATCTACTGCATCAAATTTGCTTAATAACAATGCCGAAATTCTTGAACAATTAGAGTTGGGTGTGATTCTGGATGAAATGAGCAATCACTCTGACATAACATCACCATGAAACTGAAGGTCTTTAATATTGCGCTTAAGTTGAATAAGATAAAAATAATGCGACCATTCTTCCTAAAATGAACATCATAATTGTACACACTGAGTTATCGAACGTGTTAATGAAAAACTCACAAGAATTTTTTTTCCATTTATATACCGATGCATTAAGAAAAAGACAATATGGATATCACTGTCAGAACTTTGTTCTCAGATATTGACTATTTTTTAAACATGATTAGGCAAGTCTAAGGTCTTATTTGAACATAATTCTTCAGAACTTGCTATAAAAATTGATTGTATTAAGACAAGAAAGTTTTGAACTAATTTCTATTTGAGTCATTTCTTTTATATCCTATATTGATTATGAATAGTAATATCTTTTACTTTCACTTCTTCCTTTTGTGTAAATACCATGACTCTGAAAAGTCTTACTTCAACAAAAATCGATTGAGTTTGCTATTATAACTTTGACTATATCCAATTTTTAATAGTTTACTAATAAGTATTTCGAAGTCGCCTGAAAAACTAATAATTTGGGTTATTACATCTTTAGGGAACAGGCAATTGTATTCTCGAATATGAAATACCGATTTGCTAAAAAACAAGGCTTATTGCAATGCTATGCAACTTATCAGAATCGTATTTCTTTTTATTCATATAAAGTTTGAAACTTGTGCAATTTTCTTCGATGATGAATCATTGTCAACGGTGTGTTAAATTGAGAAGTGAATGCAATAAATATTTAATGTTTCGGAGTTTTAGTTATGATTTGCCATAGATGAGAAAAATCTTTAAAACACTTTTCTAAGAGCGACTACAATGTTAACACATTTTATGAGAGTCGGGATGTCGACTAATGACGCTGTTTAGTTATTTGATGTTCTTTCATTTGTGCTTTTCTTCGTAGTTAGACTTGTGCAAGAATGTTCTTGCACAACTTCAATCATTCAACAATATAAGAGAAAGAACGAAAAGAAATACTTCGACGAGCCGCGGTCGGAGATCAACTCTTGTCTTGAGCCTGAAGCAACACAACTCGGTCTCTTTGTGTCATAGCAATATGATTCAGAGAGGCCACGATCTCCGATTAAATTGACACTCGTCACGTCGTTTTTTGATAGTTATGTTTTTTTTTCGTTGCCAATTTTTATATAATGACTATTTTAGCGGTTGTACCATAATTTATGCTGATAAAAGAACATCTCAAATAGACTATTTAAATGTTTTGAACAGTCTAGGGTGTAAAATTAGGTGAATAAATATCGTAATAAAACATGAAATACTCGGAGAATCACTTGTAACAAAATTTGACTGAGTTGATTTTTAAATGATGTAAGCTAGTTTATATTTAATCAAGATGCATTCAAATTTTGTACCAGAAATGTCGATTAAGCAATAAAATAAAAATCACTAATTTTTGTCGAAAATAAATGAAAAAATCCAATATTCCTGTCCAAGATTTTATACAGAAATGCAAAACACATGAAGATTCTTTGATACCTCAGAGCACCGTTTGAGAAATGAATACTTCCTTTTGCTGAAGTCAATGCAAATTCAGAAATCAATTTATCAGTGGTGCCGAAAAACTAAAATAAAAATATAATGTTGCCTTTATTAATATAAATTGTCCGAATTGCACCCAAAATAAGGACATTGTATTAGTTCAAAATGCTGTGTCATGAAGAAAAATTTATGGCTTCCGGATACTGCATGCGAATGAACAAATGCCTTATAAAATAATAATCAAACAAAACTGTATAAAAACTTGGTACTTCTTTTTGTTTAAATATGTTATAATGAATTATTGTCACTCAGATCTATTCCCATAAAAGAATTTCTTTTTTTCTACGTATAGATTCATTTGCAGGTGCCTTCCGATTTCACTTTATACAACAGCGTACATTTATTTCGATGTGAATTCTGGTAGTATTGAAACGATGTTCTTGTGAACTTCATCTGTTTTTGCATGCATTTAAAATTATTTCTAGATTAATTGACAATATTTTGACATCGTGCGAAACGAATCGAAATCATCAAATCAAACTTAGACAAGATTGTCATTTTAAACACAACATGTACATAAGACCGTGATTCTGTACTAGATAGATATCGTCTCTCCCTTGCCCTTATTGCTAATTTCAATTAATACTCTTCGTCACACACTTTTGATCTATGATCTACAGTAGAAAACATCATTTTATTCGTGTCTAATTCATATTTTGATGGTTTATTCTCATTGGTATCAAGTATGAAGAATAATGACAATAAAAAGAGTCAATAGTCACGTTTATTCGAAAGAGTCA